GGTGGTATTGAACCAGCCAATGCTGTTCCCATACAACATGGGATTCCACTACACAAGCAGAATTGCTTCTTGCTCCCCTGGAGCTGTTTTGGCAATTCTTTACTGCCTGAGCAGTACCAGGTGGCTGGAAAGTCCAGGAGAAGGCTTCTGCCCTATAATACGTGCCAAGGTTTTCAATCTGCAGCATTATTAGCTGCATAACACCCTCCAACAAGGTGCATTCTGAAAAGGAGACATTTTAGAACAGATGCATAATCAGATCCAACCAGTCCTGAGTTTGCTAAAGATGTGTTTGTTTCATTCACCTAAGTATCAGGTTTGCTCTTAGTTCTCCTGTATTATATGCAGTAATAATCAGGGGAGGTTCTGCTGACATCAATATGATCGCACTAGAGTTACGCAAGTGTTGAATTAGGTCCCCGAACACCAAAATCTGAACATTCAATGACCTTCAATGACCAGCTGGCATTTGAAAATTTCATCCGAATTTCAAAAGTAGATCTGAAATGTGTCTCTTCCTACAATTAGTGATTTGAGATTCTGCCCACTTGCATCATTTGTAGGAAAAGTTTTCAGCTCTACAGAGAATCTATATGGACAGGTCTAGTGCACGATTGCTTTCAGTATTAAATTAGCATGTGAAGAAACCCAGAAGAGTAATACTAATATATTGGATTAGTTTTATAAACAAATAACCTTTGTACTTGAAAATCAGATTCTGTAGATTTAGCACTTGGAAAGGCAGTGTTTGACTTCACTGATGACTAATTCCATTTTTCTAACAATATCAAGATTGTTATGCAACAAGAAACTCAAAATTACTAGTAACTCTAGCATAAAATTTCCTTTACTCCTGAATTTTGTAGACATCCTAAGCCCAATTTATCACTGTAAGTGGACTGAAAGACTTCAGTTTCCTCTAGTTGTGCAACTGCTTTTGTTATAGTACTAGACTTATTAGAGTTTCTAATTGACTGTAAAATTTTTCTTTGCAATCAATTAAGCCATTTATAAATCTGCTTTTGAACTCATAATAATTTATCACAGAAATGAAGTAATTTAGGATACAGATGACATCTATAAATTGAGGTATTGAGAACTGACCCTTTTTCAAGAATAGCTGGTAATCCATGATCTCATAGCAATAGTTGAAAAATGTGCCTTATCTGTTTTCTCTTATGGTGGCATAGAGGGGTACAGGTAGATTCTTGAATTAATAGTTCTTAAATTTTAGTTCAAAGCCAATGGTCTCTTTTCTTTGACTTAAGTGTGTTGGTTGAGGCCCTTCCTGATTTCTGTATTTGCTTAACAGAGTACTCTTTTGGGCAAGTAGGAAAACATAAATAGCTTACTATTTTCTTTCTCTTTTCAGAGCAAGATGGGATATTTAGCTCTGCTGCTATGCACTATTCACGCACTGGTGTTTGCTTGGAATAAGTGGGTTGATGTTAACCAATTTATCTGGTATACACCACCTTCATTTATGGTAGCGGTTTTTCTTCCTATTGTAGTTCTGCTTTGTAAATGCATACTGCTCCTCCCATGTTTTAGGAAGAGGATAAAAAAGATCAGATGTGGTTGGGAAGATAACACACAAACCAATCAAACCAGCATGACTTCCAGACTGTAGATCAAATATGGACATTTTCTGTCTATGTATGGACATTTCCTATGTCTATGTTCATGTCAAGGCCATGAAATGTTCACTTGTGAGACTGTTTTCATATTTTCCATAGATGTTTCTTTTTCACTTTTCATTTCGACTTCAGAAGTATGGGATACTTGATGCAATTTGGACCTTTGCTAAAACAGAAGGTGGAAACATTCATTGTACACTTTAATCTATTTGGTGTTCTGGCATTTGATCGTTTCTTTCTTCTGACTCACTGCTTTTAGAAACCGAGGGCTTCATTGCCTCAGTCATAATTCTTTCACAGGCAAAAGCAATCATAAATCATTGCTCTAGATGACCACAGAAAGTAAATAAGAACAGAACCCTACAGAACCCAGGAATGCTTTCTGCTTCCCACAACCATGTTTGTCCCTTTGTTAAATCTCTGTATTATAGTGGGACAACAACTAGCATATTTATCATCCCAATCCCTCTTATTGCTTGCATCCTGTTTCACTCTGCAGAATGGGGACTTTGGCACATGAGCCAGACAGAAACTGTGTATTCCCACCAGGTCTTGGACTTAGACAATTGGGCAAGCAGAACTGCAGGGAATGTAACAAGGTAAATCTCTCCTGAGGCTTGGGCACAGTCTAAAAAAAGAGATTTTTCACTCAGATCTCCATCTTATACTGGACTAGGTGTGTCTCTATTTACTTAAAACGATAAAACATTTCCCATCTTTTATTCCATGAACACGTTCTTTTGTTTCTGATGCTGGATATTTTCCATGCTTTTGACCTAAGCCTGCAGCCCTTGACATGTGCTAAACTTTATTCACACAAATTATTCCAGTGGGATAACTCACGTCAGGTAAATGTGTTTTGCTGTTTATTCTAGGGCCAGCACAATTGTGTGACTGGAAGAAAAACGTTAAAAATAGGGATTTGAATCTTGACATTGATTTGGTGAGATTTTAATGTAAAATGGCTTCTGAATGCATTTGCTTTTACAAAAATTTTCATATAAGTTAATTAAACCTCACTTTCCTTACGTTGCACAGGTCTGGCTGAATGTCTTTAATTAATAATTCATTTGATGATAGTATCTATTTTTAAATATGCTATGCAGTAGTTAATATTTTTACCCAGCATCAGGAACATTTCTGCCAGTCTCCCTGCATGAGTTGACTAGGACATGGACTGATGATGCCACCTATTGCTGGGATCATCTGAATGAGAATTGTAATTGGTAATGGCTCTGGTATTAAAGCAAATAGGAAAACAATGTATGCATAAAAAAATGTAATACATGGTGCTAATGATTCTGCAGTGAATGATTCTGTTGTGGACTTGGTACACTGAGCATACATAACAAATTAAATAGCTACAGGGATGCTACATTTTGTATTTTCCTGGTTATAACTCCATTCAATTATTGCAATTTAAAAGTTGGCCTTGTTATTTGCACTTAATGTAGTACTGTGAAAATAGCTGGCAGCATGGTGGCCTGTATAATATAGACTGAAATGAGTGGCATTGTGTATCAAATCAGTAATGCATGACAGAGGCAAACACTCTCTAAAACACAGGAAACTAGTCTGCAATGTGAATCTAAGAAATTTCTAACAGAACAGGAAAAGTGTGGTTGTCAATGCATTAGCATTTACATTTCTATAAATGAAATACATAAAATATTTTAGAAGTCATATTAGGGAAAAAGAGTAATATATGCCAAAGGCTTATTCAGAATATTACCTGCACTTTGTCAGGAATCATAAAAAATTAATAAAGTTGTTTTTCTAATGGAACAGGTTAAGGCAAGTGCAATGATAAAGAAATCTCTTTGTCTCCAGTATTGTCCGCTAGCGTCTCATAAAATGTGCTCAAACCTACTACTTAGTGCAAAGCTGAGACTTTAAGTACTCCAAGCAACCCCTGTATGCATCCATTGAAAAGAATGACATTTGGTTTTATAGAAATATGTGCTAAATTGTGCTCTCCAGAATCAGCCTTGCTGCTCCCTTATTTAGAAAGTCTGGAGAATTTAATTCAATCTCCAACTTTGTTAAATTCTGGTCAAATAGTTGGACTAATTGGTTACAGCTGGTCATAGAAGCCAACCCTTTGACACAAAGGAATATAAACAGCTTCAGGGGTAACAAAGCATGCAGCACAGAGAACAGAACCTGGCCCTTGATAACTGAAAAGAGGTGAATGAAGACACTCCATGGAAGAAGCCATTCAAAGCTATTCATATGGTATGTATAAAACAAAAAAAACAAGGCAAATTAATATGTGTGTGCATTTAGAGAGCAAAATAGTTCAAGGGAATGATACTGGCCTTCAAGGATTTTCACCTTATTATCACCATTACCAACTGAAATCTTTTGCACAAGGGTCTGTTATGGATCAGCTAGATCAGTGAGCATCGAGCAGAGGAGTATGGTCAATGTGGTTATGAAGTTAACAGAAGCTGGAAGTTAAATTTCCGTGCCTTTGGAGTCTGCATCTTACTGCACAGCAGTAGGTTTTAGGCCACTAAGTCACTTTTGAAAATGGGACTTTGATGCCAAAGTTGGTTTAGTCCCTCTGAAATTTTTGTCCAAGTTCTTAAACCATTTTCTCTCTGAATCTGTAAGATATTGTCTAATTTGGAGACTAACAGACAGACCCTTATTGCAGAAATCACTATAGGTACCACCACTAGAAAACAGACCAAGAACTCTATGAACATGTAAATATATTATCTGTATTCATAAAAAGGTTTTGAGCCATCTGTTCTAATACATCTTTATCCAAGAGGTGGGAAGGAACTGTTGTCCATACCATTGTATTTAGTGCGTAAAATCAGAACAAGGCAAATCACAAACACAGAACTCCTTCAGGAAGTACTAAAGAAAATGTATATACATGTACATCTTTATTTATCTTCCACTCATGGTGCAGCAGTGATAAATTTAGATAAATTTAGATTCATCTTGCTTCCAGTGCTGATAAATCGTGTCCTATTGTAATCATATCCTATCGTAATACCCTGCTCTATGCACTTATTTCAAAAGGTAATGCAAACTAGTGTAACTTCATTAATTTCAATCTGTTAATATGGGTTGAAATACTAACAGAAATTACAGGTGAAAACCAATTTCAAGATCATTGCATACTATGCAAACTGACCTTTTATGCTCATCATTCAGCTGGGGACATTAAGCACATTTCAGATTTTTCTCTTTAGCATTGGCCAGGAGCAAACCCAGACGTGTCTTCTACCAGCTGAAATTTGCATACAATCTATGAAAGCTGTTCCCAAAATCACACCTGACATCTAGACATTCAAGCAGGTTTTTCCCTACTGATTGTCTCAAGTAGGACCCAGGTTTTCTGTGTCACAGCTAGCCATTTCTCTAGAAACCACCGTTGAATGCTTATAGCCAGAAATTGAGACCTCATATCAAGCCTTTTCTCTGCATTGTAAGTCTTCAGTAAACTACTACTAAGTAACTCGGTTCTCAATCTGCAGAACTGGAGCAGTAACACTTTATAGGACATTGCAACAGTGTTTTCAAGCTTTTAAGACATTCAGATACAATACTGAGGGAGAAGAGTCATGTAAGGGCTATAAATGGCTACAGAAGACAATACTGTTGACAGTATTTTTTTTTCTCCCTTTGTAATAAACATAATTTAGTTCATCACTAATTAAAATAATTGCATATGTACCTTTTAATTTATGTATGTTTATGTACCTATTTCAAAAATCAGTGTATTAATATGCCTATATACTACTACAATACATAAAATCAATGTGCGTGCAATTTTTTTGCACTTATTTGTATACACTTTTATACAACAGTGATCATTAAATGATTCAATGTATGCTGTATCTGCCATTGTGTCATACATCCAGGGTATAAGGGTAAACGGGCACAGTAGGCTCTAGAAGAGCTGCTGCCACAAACAATAAAAATGTCAAGGGGAACCATTGTCCCCATGCTGTTGCCAAGCCTGGAGTCTTCAAAGGAGAGAAGACAAAGATGTGAAAAGGAAAATGGACACATTCATAGGGGGATGTAATGGAAGCACATTTTTCCTGACAGATCTTTTAACTGACAGATTGCATATTCTAGTATTCAGAGGAGATTTTGTGAGAAAGAACAAAAAGATGAGCTAGTTGTGGACTGCTTTGGAGGGATACCTGTGATCTGTAAAAACACTGATTAAAGACCAGGAAAAGCCCAAGAATGGTGAGGGCATAGAGGAGAGGAAAGGAATACAGGCATATCTTGGGGTAAGAATCCATCACAGTAGTGTAAGTGGTTTTGCAATGCCTCTACAAAGGCTGCAAAGTACTTCCTGCAATTGTTATACGTCCCCAATGTACTTAAGTCAGAGACACAGAATTGAAACTCTGGAGAGATAATCATAAATTGTTGAAAGGACTTGAGGAATTTTATGTCAAATTTACCTGGGGTAGCCAGATCCCAGAATACTATTCCCAAGAAGTGGTACCAACAATCAGTGCCCAGAAAGCTAGAGCCAGGGCTGTGCTGGCTATGATTTAATGTAAATTCCTGTTGACAGCGGCATTTACTGTAAGCAGGCCCTCCCTTTGGCCACTTTTCTCTGTTCTCTGAGTTCTGCAAGTGTTTAAAGCTGTGAAGTTAATCAGACCAGGCAATTGGATCCAGTTGAAAAGTAGGGAAAAGCAGCAGGGAAAAGAATGATTCAGCCAGATCCATACACTGGTCTGATTCACCTGACAGCCATGCACGTATGCCAGCAGGAAGGACAAGAGGAGAAATGGCATAAAGGGGCGGCTTAACTTAAACCAGCTTAAACTGCACGGTTGCAAGTGCTCCAAAAATTAAAAACTATTTCATCCTGTTGCAATAGCAAGAATGTTTCTTTGCTTCGCTCATTTGTCACTTTCTTAGTTTTCAATGAATCAGTAGGCAAAAATGTGTTCTAGAAATTGTCCCCAAAACCGTACAAAACTGACTGACCTCTACATGACTGTGGGCTGCATGGCTTCATTTGTAGAGATGATGATCTCACGTCTTCCCTTCTTTTCTGCTGCATCAATAGTTTCTAGTCCCTTGATAACATGAGATGTTATGTTAACCATTTTTTAAATTCAGACTAATTTCTGTTAAGCTGATTTTCTTAAAATGGCATTAACGGAATCATTTAAAAGAACAAAAGAAAACAACAGATTTTTGAAAACATGCTGAATCTACCCCTGGAGAATATAGTCTGTTTTGTCTGCCAATGGCTGAGCATTGCCACGTTGGTTTTTTTTTTCAATAGTGCCAGGATTTCTTGATCCCATCATCATGCTCTGTTGCTGATGGCAAAATAATTTCTTTTGCTGACACC